TAGCAGTATTCTTCATAAACATTTTGTCTCAATTTCTCCTATGATCTGTCTGCCTTCCTCCACTTTTGGAGTTAGGGTATTCTTGTTCCTCCGCATCCCTGAGGGGAACTGTTGGGGGCTGTGTGAGGTGTCTCTGTTGTTTTCAGGGGGAATTTGTTAGTGACTTTGCTGATCTGTTGCATCCCTCTTGTTTGGTGTGTTGTCATTTTCATTTGTTTCAGAAATGTCCGTTTTCCCTCCAGCTCTTTCAGTACACTCATTGTCTAACATCTGTTGTATACTTTACTTTCTTTCTGGTGATTCATAGTTCTCATCTCTTGTCAGATACGACAGATGATTATTGGTCCTGGAGATTTCCAAATGCTGATGAGAGGAATGTGAATTCTGCCTCAGTAAAATGTTCTGTAAATGTCTGTAAGGTCCCTTTACTTTACAACATGAGTCAACTAAGATGTTTCCTTGTTGTGGAGCTGGAGGAACAGCCCAGTGGCTAAGAGAACTTTCTGCCTGTGCAGAGGGCCTGGGGTCAAGGTCTCAGCACCCACATGGCAGCTTATAACCATCTGTAACTCCACTTCCAGGGTGTCTGACACCTTCTTCTAGACTCAGAGAACAGAAGGCACATACATACATACATACATATATACATACATACATACATACATACAAGCAAAAGTTTCATACACATAAAATAATGTTTCTTTAAGCTTTTAAAACCTTCATCGTTGCCTGTTGACAAAGTGGAGTGGTGAAGTCCTGAAAAGTATTGTATTACAGTCTGTCTCTTCCTTTATAGCTAATATAAAGGAATGCCAGGTCGCATCGCGTGCATATATATATTTAATTGTGCCTTCTGACTGAATTTATCCCTTCACTAATGTATAAGGACCTTCTTTGACTTTTGACAGTTTTCTTTTAATTTAAAGTCTGCTTTGTTCTAATGATATAGTGACACTTGCTGACTTGTTGTTTAGTGTTTATTGTATATCTCTTTCCAGTCCCTCATCTTTATTGGTGAAGTGAATTTCCCATAGGCAGCATATAGTTGGTTCTTTCCCACCTTTGGGTGGGTGAATTTAATTCATTTATCATCATGGATATTATTGACAGACATGAAATTTCTCCTTTTATTTTTATTTTATTTTATTCAGTTGTATTCTGGGGGTAGTTTTGTTGTAAATTATTCTTTTCTAACCTCTTTCTAGTTCTTTGTGTGGTTTGGTGAACCTGTCACACTGAAGTTTGACTCTGCTCTTCTGTGTTCTAGTACTGTTTTTTTTTATATTTGCAAGTTTTTTATTTGTTGCTGTTGTTTTAAAGATTCATTTATTTATTGTCTATGTATGTGTGTGTACATGAATTTACATATGTACACTAAGTGCATGCAGCACCCTTGAAGGCCAGAAGAGGGTATCAGATCCTCTGAACCTAGAGTTACAACTGTTTGAGAGGAGCCTGCTGTGGGTTCCGGGAACTGAATGCCGATCCTTTGAACGAGCAGAGTGTTCTCAATCACTGAGCCATCTTTCCAGCCTGGAATATTAGTGGGTTTGTGTTGGTAATTATCACCCTTTTGTTTTTTGTGGATGACTTCCTTAAGTGTCTCTTGTAAGGCTAATATGATAATGGTGATTTTCTTCAGTGTTTGTTTTTCTAAGTAACATTTTGTTTCCTCTTCATTTCTGAAGGATAATTTGGTTGGGTATAATATTCTTAGTGGACAGGGTTTGTATTTATTCTCTCAGTATTATGCATATGTCCATCCTTCCCTCTTCTAATCTATGAAGGTTCTACTGAATGATCTGCTGTAAGTGCAATGTGACTTGATGCTTTTCTCTTGCTGAATTTCAGGTTTCTCCTGGTCATGTACTTGTAGCATTAAATCACCAGTTTTGGTTAAAAATATATTTTCTTTAAATACAGTCAGACCATATCTCTTTGAAGATTTAGGACCTTTTTTGACTATTATTTAATGATAGGTTTTCGTGGGTTTTTTTCTATATTCTTCGCTTTGTAAAACTTCCATAATACAAATACTTGACATAAATTTATTCTATAAGTTTTGTGGCTTTCCTCATCTGATTTTTTTTGCTGACTAGATTAATTCTAAAGTTCAGAAATCCTTCTATTTATTTTTTTACATAAGTTCTCTGCTTTATCTTTAATATCATTAGTTAAAGCTTTAGCTCCAAAGTTTCTGGGTGGTTCTCCTTTATACTCTCTATGCCTTTGGTGAACTTCTCATTCATATCCTAAGTTATTTTTGATTTCTTCATAATATGCAGCGGTAGTTACTTTTATTTCAATGAGTTTACTTAGGGTCATTAAATTTGGATTTTTTAAGGTCTTGTAGATTTTATTTAAACTGGAATCTATTGTGAAGAATTATTTCTTTGGAGTGTCATGTATCAACATTTCCACATTGATATCTGTACATCTTGTAATATTTGCCTCTAATTTTATGAAGTAACTCTTCTATGAAGTTCTGAGACTTGGTTTTGCTTTATTTCTCATTTAAATGGGAGGTCAGATGCCAGGTAGATGGATGCCTTGGTGGTGGGATCAGTGCTATGAATTTGATTATATTGGAGCTCAAACATCTCTGTCATTTCTTTGTCTTTGATGTCATCCATAGTCTATAAACTGTAACTGCTTGGAAAACATTTCAAGAATGTAGTTGTAAAACTCCACAATCAACTTGGATTTCCAAAGGTGTGTGTCTTCAGACTTTGCAAAATCAAACACTGCTAATACCAGGCCTTGTAGTGGCCGTTGTCATGGCTATAATAGTGTGGAATATGTACCTGGATGGAATCACAGGAGACTCTGAGTCAAGTCACAGTATATGAAGGACCCTTGGTGTGTATCGGGGATACCACAGCTGGTGTCCTGAAACCGCAGAACAGGATTGTACTTTCCCCAGGTCCCATAGGATGACTCAGGTGATGCTGGCATCTATGACACTAGTAACCATAAGCTCAAGATTGTACAAGACAAACAAGACCTTCCCTAGGTCCTGCTTGGTTTGGGGAATGGGACAAGTAGCACTGTCAGACAACTTCACAGAGCCGTGGGCCATCTCCTGGCCCCAAAGGATGTACATAATCATCAGGATTTTTATCACCAGCTGTGGTTCCAAGGCAATGGGCTGTGGAAGAAATCACTCCTAGGTCTCCCAAGACCTATGCAGGTAGCATTTGGGCCTATGGCACATATATCCACACATCTGGAGGCATAAGAGATGGAGGAGACCTTCACTAGACCTCTTGGACTGAGCAGAGTAGTCTGATATGTGACTTTGCTATCTACCCTACTAGAGCACAAGAGAGATGGGCTTGTCCTCAGGTTGCAAGCAGAAAGCTCAGCTGGGGACAAGATTTGAAACATTGATAACCACAGCTCTATATCTGCAAGACTTGGATGTTACCTGCCTATAGAAGGATGGGCTATGGGCTTGGAGAGCAATCTGCCATAGTTTCATCTGGGTTTACACAGAGGTACTAGTGGTTAGGCTGCTGGCCACTGCATTCCTGGAGCTGCACGTGAGCTAGAATCTTCCTAGATCCTATTGGACAGGTGCAAACAGAGCCTGGAGTCTACAACAACCACCTCAGCCAGTGCTGTGGGTTGAAGACTCGCAAGCATGGACTCAGACTTGTGACTGTCATAGTCTATGGTCCTGAAGCCTCAGGGCATTGAAAGGGCTACCTTCTGCCCAATAAAGGATACAGCAGGCCAAGTCCTCCTATGGCAACAGGGAATTGCCTCCAGCTAGCCGTGGCAGTTGGGGTTGGTGGGGAGGTAGTTAGTCCCCTTCTGTGGGTCAGAGCAGGTTCCAGGAGTCGCTGGCACTTTCCCTCTGCCTGCCCTCACTCTGCCCTAGAGGGCTCAAAGGTACCCTTTGCTTTCTTCTTTTCTCTGGGTTCTTTGCTGATTTTCAGACTCTAACTCTTGTCCTGGCTCTTTTGTGGCACAGTTGTGCACAAGGACTTCTATCCAGCCATCCCGGCTGCTTGCCTCTATGATAATTTCCCCGGAGATGACTGCGGAGAGTAAAGGTGTTAGGCTAAAAATGCAGGGACCCCAGGCTAGCCCCAGAGCTGTGGCTTTCAGAGGGGCAAGAGGTCCTAATATGAGGTTTTTGTCGTTTTTCCCCTTTTTCTAAAAATACACTTTCAAAAATTAAAGGTATGAGCGTGACTGTTGCCAGCTAAATGCTGTGTTTCCTGCCAGTGAGGGGTTCTCATTCTCAGTCCTGATTCTTGGCTCTGCTCCTCTCAGAGCCATGGGAGCTTGACCTGGTCTTCCCATTCCAGAATTCAGCTCCTTAGCAGGAGATAAAAGTGCAGTGTTGCTCTCCTTACCTGGAATACATTGTGTTATTGCAGCTAGCGTCTGGTTCTGAAAGTGGTGATTTCTCCTACCATGAGCATCCGTATGTCTGCCTCCATGTGCATCTACAGATAGGAGTTTCTAGAAGACTCGAGTTCTCCATACTGCCAGTCATGTGCAGTGTGCCCTTAGAGCACCACACTGCAGAAAGGAGGAAAAGCCTCCATAGTGTCTGTTCCCACAGCCTCCCCTCCAGACTATAAATCAAGCCTGGGAAGACAGTAGTGAATCAGTAATTTATAGACTATTGCAATGCTTCGTTAGAACTGACTGTGGAACATGCAGAATAGAGAACACATGTTTCCAAAAGACAAACAGACCCAACACATCTCTTCCTTGGCTGAACCAACAGCAATCCATTAACAGGACAAAATGGGATGCCTTATTTTGCATATCACCCACTTCCCAAAAATAGACTCCCTAACCACTTGTTAACCACACTGACTTTAATGCAGAATGGTCGCTGTAGCTTTGCCACCAGAACTATTCATACTAAGCACCCTAATAGCTTGTAGCCAGCAGTCTACAAAACAGGAAGAGAGCCTCTGCTTCCTCTCCTTGTTCGACTTGATGTGATAATTCATTGCAGATTTCTTTGTCTTTGACAGAATGCCTACCGAAGGAGTGGGATGGCTTTCCTGGCCTGCTGAGGGGACCATGGCTGTGCCTGCTGCAACAGGAGGAGGAATGAGACACCGAGGCCATTCTTCCCTGTGCTGGATGAAAATAAAATGTGGATTTACCGTCTCCTGCCCTAGGGAGTGGCCTGCTTTGTTTTTGACTCTACACTGTCTGACTCCAGCTCTTCCTCAGCCTCTTTAGCCTTGTTTACTGAGTGGGCCATTTGCCTAATTAATGGCAGGATGTTGGGTGGTGTGTAGGTGGACAAGAACGCACATCACACAATTCTGAATTCTGAATTTGGCATGGATTTGCTGCCCTCAGCTCATAAATCTTAAAAGCAGAGTTGTGCTTATTTTCCCTCCAGTGTTTAGTCTGCCTTTTATAGGATGCATTTTTATGATTCAGATTGGGACAAAAGAGACAAATGAGTCACTCTCCCTTCCCAGTGACCCACCAACTGTGCTTCCATTGTTGATAGTCTCTGCGTGTGTTCTAGAGATGCAGTCATTTGATGAACATGCACCCATCAAAGATTCACCTGGCAGGACAAAGCCACCTGTTCCCCCCTTCTTCCGTCACCCCACTCACTAAAGGGGTCACTTTTTCATGCCTTCTTCCTTCTGCTTCATGGAACTTGCCTCATCCATCTTCACTGCCTTACTTTTCCAGCTGAACCTCCCCTGAGCCCACCCCACCGCACACACATACACAAAGCTTCCATGCCTTTTCAGAAGCAAAGTCAAAAGACAAGAGCACAGGGATTCTGGGATTCACCTAACCCTTCAGAGCTCTCCTGGTCTGGAATCCGGTTAATACACTGCCTGCTGCGCGTCTGTTCTGTCTCCAGTAAATGAGGAAGTATAACTCTTGGGAGCAACCCAAAATATAGCAGATGCAATGGTACAGTTCCTGATTAAATACGAATTGCAGAGGAGGAAGTTATGTCTTTAATTCTGTAAGAGTTTCGGGTAGAAGAGAGAAATAAGAAGCGCAGCCGTTTTCTGTGTGAGCAAACCCTCGAGCGGCCACATGCTTGTGCCGTGGTCCCCACTGTCATTTACCTGCTGTGTAGTAATCATTCTCGGGGAAAATGTGCATGCTAGGAAAAACGCAGATATTTAATATCAAAAATCGCTGAAGGGTTTTGATGTTCTACCCATGCCTGTCGAAAAGTATGATTAAACCGTTCTTTTTCTCATCCTCCCTGTTTTCCTTGGCATCCCTAATCATGGGAAATTATAACCCTGCAGTAAACATCCCTTACTTGGGGGATGGCAGCACTCGCTGTATTTAGTTTCCATCTGCCAGGCTTGTAGGCGATCTGACATTTTCAGGGGCTAATTTCTCCTATTGAAAACCCATCTCTGCCCCGCAGTATATATTTTAAGTAGCACAAGGCAGAAAATGCAAGGCTTTGTTTCCCCCGTCGTCCTCTTCTACCTAATCTCCTTGTCGTCCCAGGGAAGGAAGACTCAACGTACATTTCTCTCAGAAACACGACAGCTCTGTGTTTTTGTTGGTCTGGTGTATGTTTGTCTATCTTGAACCGTCTGGCAGGTAATTATTTATAAAATCTGGTTTGCCCAGCGAGTTCACATAATACCTTTCACTTTTCATCCTGAGCCAGAAAGCTGAATTTAGAATCAAACAAGGCCGTTTGTGTCTGTCCTGAGCCAGCCTAGATGTACCCATAATTACTCAATGCTAATATTTTAATTCTTTTTTTCTTCCCTACACTTAAGTTCTCTCCCTTACCCTTAAAACAAGACTAAATTTGAAGTAAAACAAAATTTTCTAAACAGTTATATAGATACAACAGAAGGAAAATCTTAGAAATGACACTTCAATAAACTGTCTCCTAAGATTAAAGTGTCAAATATTATCATAGTTAGAGAAGACCGCTGTCCTCGTTTATCCTCCTTGTATCATTGGGAATTGTCACACACTTGACAGATGAAAGGAACTTGGCCTAGATGGGGGAAGAGACCACGCATGATAACCTATGGCCCCTCTTTCTCAGCCCAGTCTACCACTTCACTGCCCTATTTTTACGTGACAATATTACAAAGACACACTAGCCTTTTCATATTTATCCCAAACAATAAAGTAACTTCTTAAGGATACTAATTAAACATATACTCTTAAACATAAATGTGAAGTCATATAATGAAATCTTAAATTGACTATGCTATAAATGATGGTTTCTATACACGGGGCTCAACTCTAAATCATATGAATACCCAATTTTTGGATGAGTTTTTATTATTGTTGTTACTAATCTCTTGCATTTTAGAGATCAAACTTGAAAATAAATAAATCTACAAATAATAATAATAATAATAATAAACCTTTTTTTGGAAAATTGATGTTGCCCCCTAGACTAAGGGTAAAGGAAACCAAACCACTTCTATCCCCAAGTTTCAGAATGTGGCTTTCTGGAAGTGCCCACTATAGGTCATGGCACTGACCTTTCCTGTCTTCACACATGACAGACAATAGTTGAGATTCAAAAATAATTTTCTAATGTTAGGGGCTAAGGATTTTATTTAAAAACCATCAGAAGTGCAAATATTTTCCAACGTCTATATCGTCCCTGTGTTACTGTCTGTTCTTTGTCTTTAAAGAATAATAAACAGCCCACATCAATGTTTACCACATAGAAGACACGTAAACATAACTGGTGGTCTGTGGTCTGGAAGAAAACAAGTTTATTTGTCTAGAAATTGTAAAGTTCAAATTTATGAATTTTTTCAGTATAAAATTAGGCATTGCTTTCGGGGTCATGTAACCCCTTGTGTGAAGTAAATCACAGAGAGTCCTGCTCTATCTGCCCTCCGGACCCATAGTCCTGCCCTATTTGCCCTCCGAACCTCAGATAGTCCTGTTCAGGTTGCAGTTTAAGTTCTCCCACCAACATCTCATAAAGTCTTTTATGGTTTCCTGTGTGTTCTGGCCGAGCATTTCATAGTGTATAAACACTTGTACGAATAATGTAAAGACAGCGAGCTGAGTGTGTCACAGCAGCCCCTCCTCTGCCAGCTGAGTCCCCAGCAGCGTTCTAGCCCAAGCTGAACTCTTTTGTGCTTTGCACATAAGTGGTGAGGAGCAGGGACTCTGGCAGTTTTCGTGGAGTTGTGTTTCGTAAAGGAAAGGCTCTACAAGGGCATCCAGCCAAGCAACTAAACCATGCCGTGGGAGGTGGATGTAAATATGATGGTTAAATAAGGACCAGATGCCCTGGGGAACTCCAATATCAAAAGTCATATCTCTTAAAGTGAGTCTCAAGTGTTGTGAGCAGGATAGTGGTACCGTGGAAGGGGGTGTTGGTTTTAAGTATGAAACAAAATATCAAGCATTCAAATTGTCCTAAGTCATGGAAATTTTGGCAGTTGGAGCATAATTTAAAATGGTTGATTCTTACACGGGAACAAGGACACCACATATAAAACTGCTGTAATTCTTTTGAGAGCCTTGGATTCCTGGTCCCTTTTCTGCTTGTAACGTCCCAGCTGTCTCTATTCTCACTGTTTTCCACTAAGAAGTAAATACAGAGAAAGATGGAGAAGGAATGTGTGGAAGGACCAAAGACCTCTTAGTATGTATCTACAGTGTGTGGGCCTGGAAAGAGCATTTTCTGTTTAACAGAAGGACCCAGCACCCTGCAGGGTGACTCTCCGGTGCTTCTTACTCCAGCTGCTAGGGATCCAGTGCCTCTTCTGCCCTCCATGGACACCCAAACACACATGGATACACTCATGGTGACGCACACATGTGAATATGCTCATGCAGAAGGACACACATACATAGGTAGGTTCATCAGTGACATAATAATTAGAGCAGGCTTCCATGACTGATGCTTCATGGGTCACCTTGAAGGCTCACGACACTGTGAGCTGCACACTGTGTAGCCCAGAGGCAGGAGAGGGAACTTGGCAAGTTAATTGCTCTGTGCAGTTATCCAGAATGGAACTGACATTCGTACTTTGACCACACTGTTAAGTAGCATGGAATATACTGGAAGCTTCTCGGAACACAGTGAAAAGAAAAACCTTTCTCATGCCGAAAACTTGATTACAAGAAAATTTCACTGTAGCTTAAAACAGTCTTTATATATACATTATGTAAGTACTATAAAACAAAATATATAATAGAATGCAATTATATATATATAGCATGCCAATTCCTCTTTAATGTTTCAAACCTTAAGATAACTATGTATAAATACTGTAATACATTTTAAGAGTATGGTAGGAGTGGGGGCATGGTTGCTGAGGAGTTGGCTCAATGGGTAAGAGCTTGCAGGGCAAGAAAGAGAACCTGAATTCAGACCTCCAGCACCTTCAGAAAGGAACAGACGTGGCTATGCATGTCTGTCACCCCAGCAACTTGGGGTGAAGGGTGTAGACGGGAAGAACCCTGAGGTTTGCTGACTGCTGGCCAAGCCGAAAAGCAAGTTCAGGGAGAGACTTGTCTTCAGAGAATAAGGCAAAGAATGGGAGAGCAGGCCAAGGCCATTCTCTGACCTCCACGCAGGCACACAGACATGTACATACATAAACACACAATGGTGAATACAAACTATAACAAAGCCCCAGAAACCCATGCATATATTCCCTCTCCTATCTACACACTGACTGTATGCAGAAGGGTGATTACAAAGGTTACTATTGTATGTGTTCACATAAGTTATCTATCCGTGTTCCAGAATAAGTCCCATCTTGTTCACAGGTGCTTGCTAGTGTTCAGAACATGCCTGGAATGGTCATTTGAAGTATTTGCTCCTCAGTTATGATGCAATAGGCCTAGTTTCTTAGTCTGGCAAGTTTGTGTGTGAGTCTCTGCGGGCTGACTGTACAGTGATAAACAGGAAGTGGAAAGAGAGCAGCTACGTGTATTACAAATGATTTCTTTCAGTTCCATCCATACTTAGCAACTTTTCAATTCAACTTCAGAGGCTGGAGAAGTGACTCAGGGCTTAAGAGCACCGGCTGCTCTTCCAAAGGAACTGGGTTCAATTCCCAGCATCCACGTGGTAGCTCACAGCTGTCTGTTACTCCAGTTCCAGGGGATCCAGTGCCATCCTCTGGCTTCTGTGGGCAGCAGGCATGCATGTGCTACACAAA